AGCTTAATATTTTGAGAAAAAAGTACGATAAAAAATTTTGAAATATATTTTCGTTGACTAGTTTTGTTGATTGAAAACTTCATGTTATTCTTTGTTTCGTTTCTCGAGATGATGAGCACAAGTAATCAGATGATTAAATGAGTCTTATATTCATTCCGAACAATTATTTTGTTATAACTCGACAACATTTCGATCATTTAAGATGAAACTTTTATCAAAGATGCACTATAGGATAAATAGCCATCTCTGTTTTTATAAAAGTAAATATTACTAGTTTGAGCTAAAATACATCTAGATTCTTCGGAAATGACTGTCATACGTTTTTATGTTTTATTTAAATAAATACTAGAAAAAGAAATCATTTCAAAGTCTATATCTACTATAGAAAAAATTTTATATGATTACTTTTTCTTGAAATAATTTATGAATCCATTCTGCACATTTTTCATCATCTTGATATGGAATTTCTGACATAGGAATTCGTCTAAAAACAAAGCAATCACTGGATATAAAATATCTTTTGTTCCTATTAATTTACTTCAAATACATATGAGCTTTACATGAATGTCCATTCAATAAGGTACGAAGTTTAGGTGCAGCACTATCCTTTGAAAAACCAAGCATAAAATTATAAACAGCAGGTACTAAAAAAAAAAGACGACATAATAAAATAAAAAAAAACAAACAGATTTTCAAATAATTTACTTTTTCCTTTTGCACCTTGCATAATCATTATTAAACCTTTCGTTCGTGGTAATATATGATATTTTAATTCAGGTAAATTTTTCTCACGTGCATATTTCATACTTTCTAATCGTTTTGTTTCTGTATATCTAGTACCTTCACAAGTCATAGTTATCTATGAAAAACATTAAATTTTCTTATAAAAAAAAAAAATAATTTAATTTAAAATAGATATCATATACATTAAAACAATAATTATCTGGATAATTATCGAGCAATTTTTGAATATCATTTTCTAATATTTTCTTATCATTTTCCCATATGCGACGTAAAAAAATTGATTCAGTAAAAAACCATGACCAACCAAGAACTGGTATTAAACTAAGGGAATGTTTTCCAACGATTTTTGTACCCTATATCGACAATAAAAGATAATTTTAAAATGAATTAAATATAAAACTAAAATCTACTCCTAATAAACCACGCTTTTGAGCAAATACTAATGCAACAAGCCAATCAATTTCATATCGATGATTAGGAAGACATATTGCATATTCCTGTCGGAGATAGTCAATATCTTTTGAATCAGCATAAATTTTTAAATCTGAATTTGACCACCATGAATAAAGAAAAGTTAATTCTACAAAACAAGAATAATTTTTATTATGAATTAAAAAATTAATTTTTTTTCCTACTTACGACTCCATATTAATGTTGCTAAATGATAATTTAATTGACGATATAATTTTTTATTAAATGGTCGAATAAAGATCCATGTAAGAAGTTGAACAAGATTTACAAATAATCCACTAATAACAAAACAATAACCAATAAATATTTGAATCGGTAATAATGATTGAATAGTAATGAGAAGATTTCGATCGATCTTCATTTGAACGAAAGTCAACAGAAGCGTACAACTATAGTATAGCAATCGAAAAAATAATGAAGAGTAACTTGGTTATGCTTCGATGCTCACATAGGATAGATGACTGTGTCTCATTTATTTTTATACATCGAACGAAAAGAAAAATCATCTAAATTGTATGCATCTATAAATAGTAAAAAAAAAAGAACATGTCGGTATCGAAATTCTTTTCTTTTTTTTTGTATTATTTAAAAAATGTAAGTATTAATACTTTTTATACCTGTGTCTGTGAAACGAAATATTCTACAAGTATAAATATAATATCAATAATTTGATTGATGAAAAAAAATTTTGTACAAAGTATTTATTTATTTTCTATTTTTCGAAATAAATGTTATTTAAACTAATGATATACTTAAAACTTATAATTACCATTATTATGTCAATTAGTTCAGTGAACTGTATAATATATGACAATTTGAAACAGAAGTGATTTAAGTTAATGGAATTCACGGCATTTGATTTTCAATGACATTTTGTTAGATATTATATTTTTATCCAAAAAAGCGACTATAAATTGAGGTATAAACTGATGCATTGATCGTTGGTGACTGAATTTTTTGTAACCTTTTTCCTTTGTTATCGCCATCGGCGACGGACAATATTTAACTTTTGTTTCTTTGGTGAGAACCGAAAATTTTCTTAATTTTGAAATGAAAAAGAAAGAAAACAATGATATATAACTTATTGAAAATAAACTAAGCAAAAATATCTCGAAAAACTAATTTGGAACGGTGGCAATTTTTTAAATTTAAATATCTATTTTTATATTTCGGCAGCAGTAGTTCAGTTCTTGTTTTGAATCGAATTCAGAGAAATTAATTCAAGAATATTATGAATCATTTGATGACGTGTTTAACTTAATCGTACGACTTACATGACTTAAGAGATAAACATTTTTCTCTTATATCGGACAATTTATATCGCAATGTGAGGCTGTGGATGAAGAGAGTCAACATATCCATACCTATAGCATTCTTTCTTTTTTTTTTGCATAAATTATTTGTGTTGGATGAGTGTTTCCTTTAAGAACGCTTCGGTCGGACGGTACAACACAATAATAAATCAATCATTATATTATTTTGATAGACAAAAAGATATTAATACAAAAAATATAAAAATAGATAATAATTCAATAACTCTTTCAATTGAAAACAAAGTGAAAGTTCAAATCTTAATATTGATCAATGATTATATACTGGTGTAAGTGTTCTTCTACTTCGGAAATTCAAATTTTGTTTTCTCCTTTTATGATACGCATTTAGATGATGTGACAGAGTTTATTTCTAAGTTATGCCTATATGGTGTTCTTCTCTTATTTTGACTTACTCAGAGTATATTCAAAAAACTATTGTATGCAATGTTTCATAAATATTCAAACAGACATTAATTTAATAAAGTGATCGTGCAAAAAATCTTTACAGTGGCGTGACCGTGAATAAATTCGAGCGTAGTGAAAAAAAGTGACTAAGCCTTGGTTGTTTTCGAGATAGTGTTTAATCGATCAAACATAAGCACTTTTTATGCTTTTGGACCTTAAGTAGGGTTGTTTAGGAGCTGTCAGTACTAGAGACGTACCGAACTAATATCGGTCATCACGAAAAAGATTTGTGTACATTGTAACTAAAAATTGTAAAATTTCCATGCCTTTTTTTACCGAATTATGTTATAAACTACATTAATGAAAAACAAAATAAGGATCGATGAGATATGCATCTGCTCAATCAGATGAAAGATAACTATTGAAGACTATTTAGATTTAATACGAATAAATCTTGAAATACTTTTTTTTCTAATCCGAGACACAAGTAGTATCCGATCACTGACTATTTTCATATGAGCCAATATTTCTAAACTTATTATTTTATTCGACTAATTGAAGTTTGTGATATATCTATACGAGGTTAGTAGTCTAGATTGTAGATTTCAGCTGCGAGAGAGCTATGGGATGCTTGTTATTAGTATAAAATGATGTTTTCAGAAGCTAAGTTTTGAGAAAAAGAATTGGTCACAAGGCCATCTTCGTCTCGAATGAATTAATCAGCAATTGTTTTAATTCAATTTTCACAAATTATTGAAGTCTAATATATCAGATGTCTATACTCTATAGTTCTATAGACTTCACATATTGAATTTTTTTAAAAAACCTAATCATAGACACTCATTACTCAGAATTTAAATTTTCAGACAAACTAAATTATGATAAACAAAAGATTCAAGAGTCAGATAGTTGCTATTCAATTTTTTTTCATCAGATTACAAACAAAAAAAATGTTGAAGTGCTAATTTTTTTTTGGCAGAGATTTGATAATCTTTTGGAAGCAAAAATATCATACATACAAGTGTTCTTAGAGATTTCTTAGTATCATTGAAATTTACTTATGCCCAAAACATGGAACTAAAAGCTTAGAAACAATGGATGTAACGCTCTCATCAAAATAAACATGAATTTAAAGAAGATTAGTTTGTAAATGTGTGTTTCAGATTGATTCTAACTTAAAACTAAAAGATGATTTTTTGTATATTTTAGCTTGAAATCAAATTGAAAAATCTGAATTCCACAAAGATTGTACATGTCCAAACTTATTTCTCAAAGATATTTGATTATGAGCGGCATTCATATTCCCTTATTTTCGATTTTCTGAATATACGGCAGATGGAGGACATCAGTTTTCTTCAATAAAACCTCTTAAGTGATTTTTTGTTTTAATTGAGTGGGTATGAGTGTGGGCCTACTCTTCACATTGATCTCTAACTTCTTCAATCAACATACAGTTTTGTGTTCTGGAAATAATACACGATATTAACTGAAAATTAGTAGGTTAAGAGACACTTTCATTATCATGAAAGCATGACTCAGCGTAGACATTATTTATGAGAGAAAATGACTTTTTTTTAATTTTTAGTCTTCTTAAGAAAGTAGACATTCGCAGAAAAGCACTATATCACTATGGTTTCTTTTATCTCAAATTTGGATGGAGAACTGTTTTGTTTAATCATTTCTTCTAAAATAAATGTTTATTGTTTTACAACTACTCTTCGATGTTCGTCAAATCACAGCTTTGTGAGCTCTATCTAACGACATATAAATCATTAAAAAAACAATATGCTCAAATATTTTCACAGCACTTTAAAATACTATAAATCGCAATTGACCATGTGCACAAACAAAACACGTCGCTTCTCGCATTCATTAAACTGATTTATCATCGTATTACTCGCTGCACTGGTGCTCGTCATTCTTTGCAAGATTCTATCAACGACGATTTCTTCTCATTGAATCACATAGTGGTATTCTTCGTTCTTTTTTGATATTAATCTGTTATCTTAAGTATGTAAGCAGTGGGTATTTAAGAGAGTAATTTCAGCACTGATATCATTCTTCACAATGCTCCAAATCAAACAAGACTCTTCCTTTTCACACTCACACCCAGGACAACAATACGTGCCATTGAAACAACTGAACGTCGAAGCATATATAAAATCGTTTGCTGCCGATGTAACAATCAAACAAATTTTTCGTAATGATGAGACACAACTGATCGAAGCAGTGTATTGTTTTCCAATAGAAGAACAAGCAGCTATCTATTCATTTGTTGCTCAAATTGATGATCGAGAAATTATTGCACAATTGAAAGAAAAAAAAGAAGCACAACGAGAATACAACGATGCTCTTGAATATGGTTATGGTGCATATTTACTTGAACAAGATGAAAAATCTCAAGATAATTTTATAATCAATGTTGGTGCACTACCAGCTGGTAAAGAATGTCACATTTATATATCGTACGTCTCCGAACTGGATCTTGTTCAAAATGGAAGTCGGATACGATTTGTTGTTCCAACGACTATTGCACCTCGATACGATCCAAATGAAGGTGGAATCGTTTCACCAGGTGGTACCACGTCAAAATATGTTTCAACAACTCTATACACAATTGAATTTTGCTGTCGGATAGAGAAAACCAATGTCTCTCGAGTTAGTTCGACATCTCATCCTATCCAGATTGAAGTCGACCAAGAGAATGTCTATGTCATCGAATTTGCTCAAAAAAACACACATCTAGATCGAGATATCTTACTAGATATTGAGTTAGCTAGCAATCGTTCAAATACCATTATTGCGGTGGAACCAGGTGCTGTTATGGTTTCATTTACACCAACTGAAGAAGATTGTCAACATGCGATGAACAATGTAGAGACGACCAATGAATTTATTTTTGTTATCGACTGTAGTGGATCGATGGAAGATGAGAATAAGATTGGATTAGCACGTGAAGCAATGTTGCTCTTTCTCAAGAGTCTTCCGCTAAATTGTCACTTTAATATCATTCGATTCGGATCAACTCATCAGGCATTATTCAACGATATAACTGCCATTTACAATGAAAAAAATGTTCAAAAAGCAGAACAGCTTATCAATCAGTTATGGGCAAATATGGGTGGCACTGAATTGGTTAGTCTTAACGCTTATATCTTAAAACAGCTGATTCTCTGTCTCTATTATAGTTACAACCACTTCTGTGGTTAGAAGAACATCCTGCACAAACAGGTCGTTCGAGACAAATATTTCTGTTGACAGATGGAGAAATTTCAAATGTCAACGAAGTACTCGATCTATGTCGCTCGATGGCTACTTCTACACGGATCTTTTCATTTGGTTTGGGTCATTCACCAAGTCGTTCACTAGTCAAAGGTCTTGCTCGAGCAACAAATGGACGTTTTGTTTTTATTCCACCTAACAGTAATGTTGACGTTCATATTGGTAAACAGTTACAAAAAGCTCTGCAATCTTGTATAACAAACATACAAGTGGAATGGAAACTCGGTACTACTGTTATGACTGCTCCAACAAACATACCACCAGTCTATGTTAATGATCGTCTGATTGTTTATGCACTTGCCAATGATCCAATGTTTGTCTTTAATGACAAATCGAGTGTCGAATTACGCAACGATCAAATTCGATTAGGCCAAGTGAAAATTGATTGTATACCGAATGTGAACATGAATGGAATCATTGCTCGACTCGCTGCCAAAGCACTCATTCTCGAATTGCAACATTCGAAATCGCCGTTATCGATTGAGAAGAGAAAATTAGAATTGCTACTGAGTTGTTTTGGGAAAACTCGTCCATCGCCAACACTAACCACGACAACCGACGAGAAAAGAATGACAAAGAAATCCATTATTGATCTTTCACTAAAATATCAGATTTTAAGTCCACACACTGCTTTTATTGGTGTTGAAAAACGAATGAATGGCAGCAATGCCGATATGGTCTTGCGTGAAGTACCAATTCAAATATCAGCCGATGATCAACATTTACAGGAACCGTTTTGTATGAATCGTAGTTTGTGTAGTATGCCATATAAGATGGTGTTACATCATGCAACGTCATTGCAAAACCAGAAGAGGCCTATGGAGATTGGTTTACCTCAGTATGGTAAGATGAAATTTTATGCTTTTGCATCGATATCTCAAGTAAATTTATTTTCAGAATATTCCATGGATAAATCTCTTGACTTTAATCTACAGGACGACAATTCATCGCATCGCGTTTGCGACAGAGTTCTCTCTAGCAATATTTCACTCCCGCAGGATCGCTTTACAAGAGTCAAAGATGAAGTATGGCCTATAGACGATGAAAATATTGTTCGCTACTTGATCAACAAACAAAAATTTGATGGTTTATGGGATTTGGATGCGAACGACATAGAACTCTTGACTGGAAAACCATTGACAAGTTTTACACCATTCAACAATAAACAAATTCTTATTTCGGCCATTATTATTGTTGTACTTGAAACGCGTTTTGCCACAATGTCGATTATGTGGCATGGTACAGTGCAAAAAGCTCGCAAACATCTTTTCGATTTACTTGGCAAAGATGCCAAAGAGCTTGAATTGTTACTAGAGAACATTCGTCAACAATTTTGAAAAATGTTTACTGACGATTAAGCATGACTGTTTAACTTACTATTATCATTTATCTGTAGAGCTAGAAAACGAATAAAGACTTTCGTTAACCTCATTTGAATAGTATTATTATCATCATTGATCAAAATCTAAAGATTGTCCCAGTAGCTCCATATACCTGCTCTACGATTTCTTTTGAAGACGTTAATAAACCAAAACAATAAGTTTTCTCCGAGAAAAATCTAAAATGCAACTAGATCTTAAATAGAAACATACTATAGCCATGGAGTTGTTTTTGTATAGCCTTTCCAATACATCCATTCAGTACACTATAACGTGTTACACATATAAAACTTGAATGTTGAATTTAATTACTCAAAAACTAAAAAGAATTTGTTCTCGTAACTGATCTTTATATATTTGTGTCGCGTCGTAGGACTCGTATTAGTTTTATACTCGTCTCTGTTTACATAGTACAGTCTATCTTGATTTTATGCTTAGATAGTACTGAACAGGACGTAAATCTAAACGGATCCGAAAATTATGAACATTATTTTTATCGTTTCTGACTAACATGACAAACCGAATAAACACTCCTCAAGAGCCTTACTGAAGTGTTGCTCAGGAATAGTTTAAATGCGTATTAAATATTATAGTATTTATATTGTTTAATTTAGTTTTAATTCATCTAGTCTTTCTGAGTTTAGTTATTTATAAATCCATTTTTATAGATTGTTACTTAGCGGATAAACAACATTAAATCAATTGAACTATAATGACATATATATGCAATAAAACATTGAAAATTGTCACAAATTTGTGTCGTTTCTAATACATAAAGTATATCAAATTCATTACTATTTTTTTTTTTTTTATAAAGTATTACTTCAGGATTCAGAATATTGTTTTAGTGATTCGAATATAATGAAGGCTATACTCAATTCATAATTGAATGCAAGAATTTCCAATAACCAAAGGACACAATATAACGATAGAATCTATTTTGAGAACGATCTCTATTGCATTTATGTAAAGAAAAAAAAACTAGTAAGAGAAAAAATATTTTCAATGTTTACATAAAACGTTTTAAATTCAAGAAAAACATAAATTTTTTTTTGATTATGTCAGACATTAGTATCTTCTGATGACATTGGTAATAGTTAATTTCTTATCCATTCTTATACTGAATAATACCCACGAATTGCGTTTGTTTATCTTCGCATATAAATGCACTGAGACGATTACTACATGCTATTTTTTTTTTCGATGTTCTATACAATATATCACCTAGTAGAAGGAAGAAAAACTAACAGTTGGCCTAGTTTTTTCTTCTATTTTTGTATTCTTCTACATTTATTGTCAAGACTTATTTACGCATTATCAAAATGCAACAAGGACAAGAACGCAAAAAGGTGGATATAATGAGTGATTCTAACATATCTATGTTAATAAAAATCTCATTGAACGAAGATCTTCAAGTGCAACGAACTCGCCAAATTCTCTCCATCATACTTTGTGCTTGTATTGTGAGTTCTATTTTTTATTCACTGTAAATATTCAGCTAGATAAATCAAAGTATTTTCGAGTACAGATCTAAGATAATGAGCAATAACAGAAAAGATTTGTTCGAATTAATCGAACGTATTCTTCATGTGCAAATATGAACAAGAAACTTAACTCGTTGCATGCTAATCACAGTATATTCAAAGAATCTATTTTTCATTAATATTATTTATTAATCTATTAGTGTTTGTGTATACTCGAAGCAATTAGTATGATTTTTGGAAATAGCAGCAATGCTTGTTTAATTAAAACTGGACCTGTAGCGGAGCTTGTTGAATTTCTTAGTTTAATTATTGCTTACAGTTTTGGATTATTCGTGGCTCGTCGATATTATGAAACTGGTTTACGAATAGTATGTATTTGTCTCTTGTTTTTCTTTTTCTTTTATATTTGCAATTCTTATAAAAATATTTAAACTAAATCGATTTTGTTTTAACTTCAACAATAGATTTTATTTTTACTTAAATAACTTTTTAGAATTTCACTTCTATTAACTAAACCTCATCAACTAATGAGTCAAATCTTTTTTCAAACTAAATATCTTACATAGAAGCAAACATGAGTATTGATGGATTTAACTATTCTATCCATATTGTATCTAAGATCTTATAAACAAAAAAACGAAATGAAACAATTAGTTAATCTCATTTCGAATAGAACATAATTGGGAAACAAATCTTCATATGCATGTTTCCTTTTCTTTTCTGATGGATATTTTTGTTTCTTAAAAAGCTTTAAATAAAAACTATTTTTATACATAGTGAAATAGATAAAACAACATTTTGGATTAATTCTCTGTGAATAAAATCTTTTAATTAAAACTTACATTTTCACTTTCGAATTATAGTTTGCTTCGCTGATCGTACTTGAAATGGTTATGATTAGTATTGGTATTATAATTGTAGTTCTTATAATTTTTGGTGCCATACCTCGAACTGCACCAAACTCAACGGCTTATAGAGAGCATGATAGTCTCATGATTCGTACGCAAATTGGTGCTTTTTATTGTGCCTTTGTATACATTGTAACTTTTATTCTTGATGTAAATATTTTATTTCATTTATTTCTATTGATGTTATACTTCTTTTACTTTATAGATTATCATTGTAAAATTTGCTTTCAAATTGGCCAAGCTTATTGCTGTTGAAAGATCTTCGACCATGCCACAAATATAATTTTACTTTTTTACTCTAACTTATACTCATGCTAACTTGTATTCAGTTATTTTGTTCTTGCTCAGAAATTTGAAAATAAATATCAAACATGTTTTATTTATCAATAATTTATCGAATGCAAGAATTACTTATAATATCAAATAATGCCATATGACAAATATAAGTTTCAGACAATTACTAAATAGACCAAAAGAGGTAAAGACGATGGATCAGTGAACAGAAAGTTGATCGTTCTAGGGTGTAGGTGTGCGTATCGTGTTTGACATACTTTATTTCTCTATCTATACCCTCTTTGAACTTTTCTTCAAGTGTCACTTTATGTATTATGATATTCCTATTTCGTAGTTCCTTCTTTGATTTTTTATTAATAATCCAGATAAACTCGAGTTTCGACAAGCAGTGAAAAAACTACAACAAACATTTCTTTTCAACGAAAGTATTACGGCTTGTCCAAACGTAACGCTGTTACGTTTTTGACACACTCTTCTTCAACTATCTCGAAAAGTTTAAGAGTTAGGATGTTCGCTCAAACGTCATTCGACGCAGCTTATCGAACTTTATTTATCGTATAAAAATGGCCTTTTTTGACTGAAGTCTCAGGCATCTAGAAAGGTTTTAGCATGGCGTAACGCTGTTACATAAAAGGACCCTTTTTTTCCAGTGCCGCCAAGAAAACTCTAAATTCTTGCGAAACCATTTCTTCAAATGTAATGCTCCGAGAGTCATTTTTGTAGAGCATTGAATAGGCTTTCAGGCAGTAAAAAAGATTTTCTCTAAAACATTTTTGCTCAGATAAAAAATGCAAAAAACAAACGTAACGCTGTTACACAGTTTTTTGTTGACCAATTTTGAGGCACTTAATGTACTCAGAATGACTTGATTTTTATAAATGTTACTGTTTTCTATGTAGACAATCCCCTGTGCAAAAATGAGATTGATACATCGATCTGAGAGCTCATAAACTGAGCAGGAAGTTCGGAATTATATCGAAGTCTCCAATTTGTTCTAAACTGCCAAAGTCAAAACTAAATAGACCATTTTGTAGAGAATTTAATTCTGCATCGAATGGTATGTCTCTTGACCTTTGTTGAAAAAATTTCTTGGTTAAAAAATCCAAAATACAGTTTTTGAAAACTTTAAAATCCAGTTTTCGATCTCAAAATCTGATTTTTATACAAAATTAATACCAAATTCGTAATCAGCGTAAAAAACTGCATCTAGTACCCCACTGAGATCTGTCCAACTCGGAAAAGAATTTTTTCAAAACTTGATCAGCGAAGTGTCGCGTTACGCGGACAAGCCGATTACTCAAGCATTGTACTTTGGAAAAAAATCTCGAATATATTGTACTTTGCGGAAACCCTATCGTTGAAAAGGAAAACATCCCTAGCAGAGCCATCGAAACGTTTCTTCGATGATTCTTTCCTCACCGGAACTAGGTTTTTAGCAAAGTGTGGCATACTCAGAATCGTATCTTTCCGAAACGAAGAGATTATTCTCATTTAACAGAGTAGAATAACTGGCTATAATGAACATCAGAAATCAATTGAAAGTTTTACTACAATGAAAGTCATATCAACGTAATTATGTTCATAAAAATAATTTTGTATTATTTGAATCAAAATAATTACGATCATCAGAAGATAAGATATTATCATTGTTTGATATATCGGTACGGTATTCTTCATTTGCATAGTATTATTGCTGCTAGCATCTGTACAAACTTCGACTGATAGGCCATAGAGTTCTGCACTATTAAGGCCATTGAAATCAGTGCTTCCACCAGCCACTAAAACTTTTCCATTTGTTAACACAAATGCGGTGTGAAACCACCGTTTAGTACTCAAACTCATGATTTTTTTCTATAATTCTGTTAATGGATCATATAATTCTACACCCAAAAAGGCCACCATTATGCATTCCACCAACAACTAACACTTTTCCATTTTTTTAATACAGATACAGTGTAAGAAACTCGTGCATTATTCATGCTGCCAGTTTTTTTCCATGACCCACTGAGACCATTTTCACCACTAACTAATAGTGTTCCATTGGCTAAACCAGATGCAGTGTACCAAAATCGTGCATCGCTCAAACTGCTAGTTTCTGTCCATAATTCCGTTGATGGATCGTACAATTCTGTACTAGAAAGGTGACCATCATTTAATCCACCAACAGGTAGCACTTTACCATTAGTTAATACAGATGCAATGTGAGCATGTCGTGCAATATTCATGCTACCAGTTTTTGCCCATGACCATTTTGATGGATCATATAAGCGTGCACTATTTAAAGAACCATTTGGACCACTTCCACCAGCAATTAACACTCTTCCATTGGCTAATACAGATGCAGAGTGCAAATTTTGTGCCGTACTCATATGCCCAGTACTTGTCCACGATCCAGTTGATGAATCATACAACTCTGCACTCGCTAACATATACTCCCTATTTTGTCCACCAGCAAATAGCACGCTTCCATCAGTCAACATAGAAACTGCGTGAAACAGTCGCGGACTAATAATATTGCCACTAACCGTCCAAACTTCTATAGATGGATCATACAGTTCTACATCAACAGAATCTAAACGATCATCCAACACTCCATCATGAACTAAAATTATTTCATTTGTTAGCATAAATGCAGTATGACCAGATCGTGCAGTACTCACGTTGCTTATGCACAACCAACCTGAAAAGAAGCATCAATGTGCGAGATAGGTGATTTCTACGTAAAATCTACGCATAATGGTGTGAGTGTGAGGTGGAGGTGTCGTTGGGTATGTGCGTGTCGGTGTAAATGAAGCAAAGAATCACACCTACATCCAACAAGACTCACACTCACATCCAAATCCTCCTACTTTTCTTAAGATAGATTACAGGCTCGTTTTAAATAGAACATAATCCTTACTTATTTCATCTTTTCTTATAACTAACAAGATCATCA